CGCAGACTCGCGCGCACAGGGGCCAGCTAGATCGGCGCGGTCGACGCGGCCGCGGTGGCGGTGGAGACTTCTCAGCGCGTCTCGCGGGCCGCGCTGGCGCGAGGGCACTTCTGCGCGAGTCGGTGACTCGGGCGGGCGCGGTAGCATGGCGACGTCGACCACGGCAGACACGATGAGATAGTAGCGATGCTGGCGACGATGGTGACGATGGTGATGATGACGACGGCGAGGCCAATGACGGTGCCGACGCTGGTCACGCCGACGTCGATGATCGTGTCCACGGTTCCACAATAAAGGTTCCGGGTGACTTTCGACGTGCTCGCGCAGCCCGGGTCGCGACCCCCACCTTCCCCCCTCCCAACAAGCGCGCAAGGGGGGCATTCGCATAATGTCGACATGTGCTCGTGAGAGGCCCGCCTCGTCACATGCGATGAGTATGTGAACTGTTGAAGAACCTGTGGCGTTCGTTGTTTCTTCGCTAGAGCGCGCGCAGTTTATTTTGATGCGAGCCTTGAAATCCATGCTGTGCAGATGCTGAGACTTGTGGGCACTTTCAGCATGCGCGCGCGACGACGCGCGCGTGTCAACTTTGTCACAGTTGTGCCAAGGGGGTCCTGGAAACTGATGAAATTTGACAGGCGAGCGCGCGCGCGCAGCGCACAACGTTATTGTTCGTCGGTGATGAAGGGGGGGGTAACAATGCTCCCTGGGACGGTGCGACTTCCTTCATACTTAGAACGGACGACGTGGCAGAATCACATGTAGGTTGTACCACCCCAGGGAGAAGCGATAAACCCCGGTGCGCGGGCGCGTGGGCGCGCGTGGGTGCGCGCGCGGGGTGGGGGGGTGTGGGGGGGCGGAGATTTGTTCTGAAAGAACCGTGGCGCGCCTCACGTTGCATGATTGAATACGTCACCTCCGCTGCTCGCGCAACCATCCCACCTGCCTGCCCGCAACTGGGTTTGCAAATCCCGCGCGGCGGCGATTGCGATGACTCTTCAGGGGTGGCTGGCTGGCGCACTCCTGCGGCCGCGCTGGCGCGCGCAGGCTCGCGCGCACCAGGGGCCAGCTGGATCGGCGCGATCGACGCGGACGCGGTGGCGCTGACCGCTGGTCGCAGGCCGAGCTGACGCGCGGGCACTTCAGCGCGAGTCGGTGACTCGGGCGCTGGCCATCGCTCGGGCGTCCATTCCCTGTGCCTTTTTCGGTTTCGTGCGTGGCTTTTTCCCAAAATGATCAAGGATGTTCCTCGATGGTCCTCGCCGAAGGACAGATGCACACGTCCGAGCGATGCCAAGGGCGGGCGCGGTACCGTGACGACGTCGGCAACGACAGACGCGATGGTTTCAGTGGCGACGATGATGGCCATGATGACGACCGACGGCGCCCACGCGTCGCGCCCCGACGTCGGGGCGCGCGGCCGACGCGGGCGAGTGGCCCGCATGGCACGATTTGACGGGGACTGCGCCCTCCCAGCAAGCGCGCAAGGGCGTTCGCACGATGTCGACGTTCGCGCGCGAGAGGCCCGCTGTGCCGCATGTGGTAAAAAAAGATTGAAGACCCGATGGTGTTCCGAGGGGTTCGCAAGAGCGCGCGCAGGTCCTTCGTGAAGTCACACGTTACAAAGCCACGGATGTTCCCAACCATCCTATGGTGTTTGGCCCTCGATTTAAAGAGACGGCCCCCGCGTCCCCACCTCTCCTCTCCTCCTCTCCTCTACTCCTCCTCCCGCTTCTCCCTCCTCCCGTGCCCCCCCTCATTTTAGCACACTCCTCACGCGCTTCGTGGCCCCACAGGGAGCCACACCTAAAGCATCAGTGGCTGCGTCCGCATGCCGCCCCCCCTCATTTTGGTACACCCTTTGCACGTTTCGTGGCCCCATAGGGAGCTCCTCCTAAGGCCCCAATGGCTGCGCCAGCATGCCTTCACCCCTTGCCTGTTGCACACCCAAGGACACGTTTCGTGGCCCCATAAGTAGCTCCACCTGAAGCCCCAGTGGCTGCGCCTTCATGCCGCCACCCCTGCACACCCCTCACACGTTTCGTGGCCCACATAAATAGCTCCACCTAAGGCCCCAGTGGCTGCGCCCGCATGCCGCCACCCCGCCACTGTTGCACACCCGATCACACGCTTCGTCGTCCCCTAGGGAGCTCCACCTAGGGCCGTAGTGGCTGCGTCCACATGCCGCCCCCCCCCCACCCCTTCATGTGGGCACACCCCTCACACGTTTCGTGCCCCCATAAAAAGCTCCACCTAAGGCCCAATGGCTGCGCCCGCATGCCGCCACCCCCTCATTTTGGCACACCCCGTTCCGGCTGACCTCCGCGCCCCACGCGGGTAACCCCAGCGGCAGCGCCCGCATGGCGGCCCCACCCCACTTCGGCACTCTCTTCACGCATTTGGCGGCTTCGTCGGGAAGTTCAGCGATGGCGGTTCTCACACCTGCGGTACCCACAACTGCGTATGATTGAGTCCTTCACCAGAATAATGGATATGTCTGCGGGAAGCCCGATCTTGAGATTTCTTGAAGTCCACGCGAAACCTCCGCTGTTTGAAAAATGTCCAGATGCGCGCGCGACGACGCGCGTTTGTAGACCTCGACCAATTTTGCGCCAAGGATTATCGGACATTTGCGGTTTTCGATGAACGGGCGCGCACGCACAATATCACTTGACAGAGATGGGGGGGAAAGAGGGTCGATACCGACACTCCGTGGGATGTACGCGCTCAAGCTTGAGGTGGACGATGGCACAGAAACATATGCAGATTGCCCTACCATGGGCGGGGCAATTCTGGGCAGGGTGGGGGTAAACCTGAAGTTCTCTTTAGCCCAGATAAATATATCCCGCGCAAGCTGTTGATGTAGTCTGTGTCGCGCAGTCTATGTTGCGCAGTCAATGTGGCGCAATCTATGTTGTGCAAATTATGTGGCGCCGTCTGAGTGGTGCGACGAGCTTCTGCTAGTAACGAACTGTCAAATCCATTGCTCGCGCAACCATGCCACCCGCCCGCCCGCACCTTTGCTTGCAAAGCCCACGCGGCGGCGATTGCGCGGCCGCGCTAGCGCGCAAGCTCGCGCGCACAGCGGCCAGCTAGTCTGGCGCGACGGACGCGGACGCGGTGGCGCTGACCGCTGGACACTCCCTATCGCGCCCAACAGGCCGCGCTGACGCGCGGGCACTTCAGAGCGAGTCGGTGACTCGGGCGGGCGCGGTATAATGGCGACGTCGGCAACGGCAGACGTGATGATTATAGTGGCGCTGATGGTGACGACGATGACGATGACGACGGCAAGTCCAATGACGGCGCCGATGCTGATCACGCTGGTGACGATGACGGTGTCTACGTGTCGGTGATGAAGGTTCTGGAAGGATTTCGACATGCGCGCGCGGCCAACGGGTGCGAGGGGCCCGCATGGTACTTTTCGACAGGGATCGTGCCCCCCAGCACGCGCACAGGGGCGTTCGAATGAGTTCGACCTGCGCGCGCGAGAGGCCCGTCTGGTCGCAGTTGATGGAAATGTTGGAAGCCTATGGTTTTTTACACGGATTCGCAAGAGCGCGCGCAAACTATGTTGCAGCAAGATGTTGCAAAACCAACTGTTTTGTTTCACCTGTGCTCGGGACACTCAAGTTTGGAATTCTCACGGAACCTACGGCTTGTGAAACATGTCAGCATGCGCGCGCGACGTCGCGTGCGTGTGCCTTTTCGTCACATATGTTGCAAGGGGTGCTTGCACATTAATGGTTTTTTGATACCCGACTGCGCGCGCATACTATTATTCGACAGTGATGAAAGGGGTCGAACCCGGTCCGGCTGCAATCCAACGATTTCATATGGAAAATGAACCATGGGACAGAATAAATTGCACATCGCACTATCCAAAGCCAGATTGACAAGTCGGTGGGCGGGGGCTCGATCCCAATTTCGTTGTTAGCAACCGAGAATATACGCGGTGCAGTCTTCGTTGCGCAATTTAGGCGGCGACGGGGCGACGACCTCGACAACATAGCCGCAAAACCGACAATCAGACCCAGAGGACGGGCGGCGACAAAAAGGCGACGTAGCGACGACGACGAGCACGGAGCCGCCAGACCGAAAATCAGGCCCAGACGACGGGCGGCGACGAGGCGGCGACGGGGCGGCGACGGCGAGCACGGAGCCGCCAGGCCGACAATCAGGGCTAGTTCCTCAAAAGACGATTAAGACCACCTAAACGTAAGCACTGCTAAGGGAATAGTGCTATCAAAATCACGGGGCACGTTTGTCACCGCGCTGTCTGCCCGAAGTTCCCAATGGCATCTGTGGCCCTCGAAAGCGTTCGTGGAATCAACAACTTCCATAGGACACCTGTTGGCAGGCCGTTTTCTATTATTCCGCAGGCCTACTGTATCTTCGCGCCCCTTTGGATCTCCTGGCGGCAACGGAAACAATGGAGAAAAGCAAACTGCTGGTCAAAGTTCTGATTGCGTTCGCAGGGAAGTCAAAACAATCATTAACCAAACAGAACATGGAAGCGAGATCACGCTCGGGATGAGAACGACCGTGCATTTCTGATCCAGATGAGTTCCGCTGTGGCCGCGAAGCTGGCTGCGAAGCCTACGCGTATATCGTTATACGCTTGTTGAAGATGTCTGCGTAGTGGGCGGAATACGGACTTGATAAATAGAAGGGGGAGGACATTGGAGGCGTTGGAGAGGGGCGAAATGCAGAAGAGGGAGAATGGGTGGGCGCGAGGGGGAATGGGAGCAGGATGTGGATCGGAACATCGCATGCTGAGCTAGAGCCAGATCCACTGGCCCACGGCGATTGATTAGGAAAGAGAGGGGGAGATAGAGGGAAGGCTGGGCGAGAGCGAGGAGCCCTCCTCCTCCTCCTCCTCCTCCTCTTCCTCCTCCTCCTCACGGAGATAGAGGGGGGGAGCGAGAGCGAGGATGGAGGCCAGGAGGGCGAAGAACTCGGCAGAGGGGGCGACGGGCCGCCGACCCCGAGCCGCCCACATGGCGTCCACCATCATGTTCGTCGCCTGCCGGTGCCTCTGCGCGAAGATGCGGTGCACGGCGTACAGCCACCACATGCGAGCGACGGTGTGGCGCACGACGCCCTTCTGGGGGTAGTCTGTCGGCCAGCTGCTCTTTCTGTCCCCGCGCGGCGCGCGGTCCCCCCGGGGAAGGCCAGCAGGGCCGCCCCCCCGACCACCGCGGCGCGCACGCGCGGTCTGCCGCGATCTCGTGCCGAGGGCCTTGCTTTTAGGTCGGGCATGCCCTCCTACAGGCGGGCTTCGGAAGAAAAATGAATCTGAGTCAAAAAAGTGCACACACACACACACACACACACACACACACACACACGTACAAAACAACTGGAATTCGTCACCCGTTTCTTTCACCATTCTTGGATGCTCCTCCTGTAGAGACGTCATGCCCGACCTGAGCCCTGTTGCGTGCAGACTGTTTTCTTAGCAGCGCCAGACTCCACGACTCGCCCCACACGTGCGAGCTGTTTTCATAGGAAGGAGCTTGACTTGAGAACTCACATCATTCCGACCCCGGGCGCGCGGGGGATTGGGCCCGCCAAGCGCCCCCTCTGTCCCGTTGCCGGGAGATTTGAGATATCCAGGAAATCCAACAACGAATTCCAAACCAGCGCCCTCGCGTGGGACATCCTGTGGAAATCGACCCCCCGAGCCTCCCCAGAGAGGCCTTCAGTGGGCCCCCTGTTCCGTTTCTGGAAAATCTGGAATATCCAGCGACGAATTCCAAACTGGCACCCTCGCGTGGGACATCCTCAGGAAACCGACGCCCCCAGCCTCCCTGAAGAGGCCCTCCGAGGCTCCGTTGTTCTGTTTCTGGGAAATCCGGGGAATCTGTCCACGAATTCGAAGCCAGCGCCCTCGCGTAGGACTTCCCAAAAAAAAACCGGCCCCCCGAAACCTGCCTAAGAAGGCCCTCGGACGCGCGCCGGGGCGCACCAGGCGTGTCCTGGTCTGGAGCTCTCGCCCGAGACATCCTCCCGAAGTCGCCCTCCGCGCGCGCGAGAAAGTCAGACCCATTTCCGGGGATTTGCCAGCGCACGCCCGGGCGCGCCGCGGCGCCAATCCAGGGCTTTCGCTCGAGACGTCCTCCCAATGTTTAAGTCGGGCCTGTCCCCCTACAGGAGGATGTTCGACGAAAAATACAAAATACCCCCAAAATAATTAAAAAATAATCCAAAAATTGTCTGCGGACTATTTTAGGAATATTTCTGGACCTTTTGGTGCATTTTTGGAGTATTTCTTTATTTTTCGTCGAAGAAATCCTCCTGTAGGGGGACAGGCCCGACTTAACCCAATGTCGGCCCCCAACGCGCGAGAAAGGCGGGACCCACCGCGCCCCCCGGGGACCACTTCGGGAGATCTGCGGGCGCGCGCCGGGGGCGCGCCAGCGCGCGCCGCGGGGCGTGTCAGAGCCTGGGGCTCTCGCTCGCGACAGCCTCGCAAAGGTCGGCCTGGGCGTGTCCCAACCTGGGGGGCTGCCGCACGAGGCACCCTCGCAGAAAGCCGCCAAAAATGGCCCCCCGATGGGGGGCCCCCGAGGGCGATGACAAGGAGGAGCAGGGACAGTGGCGTAGAAGGACGGGAAAGGGGAGGACTAGGGAGGAGGGGAGGAAGAGGAGGAAGAGGAGGAGGAGGAAGGGGAGGAGGGGAAACGGAGGAGGAGGAGGAAGAGGAGGAGTAGGAGGAGGAAGAGGAGGAGGAGGAGGAGGAGGAGGAGGAGGAAGGAAGAGGAGGAAGAGGAGGAGGAGGAGGAAGAGGAGGAGGAAGGGGAGGAAGAGGAGGAGGAGGAGGAAGAGGAGGAGGATTAGGGAGGAGGGGAGGAAGAGGAGGAGGAAGAGGAGGAGGAGGAGGAGGAGGGGGAAAAAGAGCGCAGGCGTCGGGGAGGGGGGGGGCGTCGTGGGCCCCGCCTACCCCAGGGCGAAGTGCAGCCCAGGGCCGACTTTGGCCGAACCGAATGCCCAAGGGAAGGTGACAGCCCTCTCCTTCCACGGGAACTCCGAAAAACAGAAAACAGGATATTACCAAGGCGACCGAAAGCAGTAGGGCACTCTAGATAATGCAAGGCAGAGTCGGCGCAGGCGGCGCGGCATGATATGCGGTCCCGAGTGGGGCCCCTAAATCAAGCTGAACAACACCAGGCATTGGAACACATTTGAAGAAGCGAAACTATAGCGGAGCAGGGGGCTAGAGTAGACAGGCGCCTCAGACATATCAGAACACGATCAAGGTGAATGGTATTTTGAGAACCAGTAAGTTTGTTCACACGATATAGCAGGGCAGTGTGATCAACTCGGGGGGCCTGACGGAGTAGCCGTTTCTCAGTTTGACTGTGGATCCTCGGAACCCCTGGAGCTGGAGCAATCGGAATAGCACAAACCTCATCAAAATTCAACATAGAATGGAACACAGAGGTCTCCCGCCATAAAAGATGATATCGCCACGCGATATTGCACCCGTCACTTTCGGCCACGGCGTGGATCCGCGCCCTCGCCCCCCAGACCTCGATCGCATTGCCAGGGGGCCGGCAAAGTGCGGCTCGCGAGGCAACATCCAGCCGATGCGGCTGCCCTGGGAGGCCCATCCCCTCCAAGCCCTCGCCGCGCTCGCACATTCGACTGGGGCTCGACCAGCCGCGCGCGCACATCCGAACGCGATCGGGGCAGGCGAGAAGAACTGCATCACGCAGGACAGATAACTGAACGCGTTCTGATTGCAGACGTCGACGCTCTCGGCGCGCCCGAACCGCGGGGCCTCGATGCCCCGAGAACGCGCCAGACACATCCGAGCAGGGGCCCCCGAACACTTGGAGAACCCACTCCTTCCAAGACCCCCAAGTATTTTGCAGGGGCAACGACCTTCATCTCTAGAGGAAGCCCAGCAGCGACCAGGAGGGGCACGCGCCGATCTGGCGCCAGAGCACGGAGCGGGACAATGAACGCCTCGCTACCGCGGCAACGCATTGAGAGCAAGGACGACGCCAAGGGCTCAAACGCGTCTGGCGCGATCACGCCGACGTCGTCGGCGCGGGCTGCTCAGCCCGATGGCGACCGAGACGGCCGCGACTCCTGCGCGCGCGTTGGGCGGGGCCCTCGCGGGGGGCGAAGAGCGACGAGCGTGGAGGACGGCCCTGCTCGATGCCCACCCTTCCCACCGAGGCCCGCAGAAGTCGATGGGGACCAAAGCGTCCGATGTAGCGCGGCGGCGGCCCCGCGAACCACCCAGGGAAAACGCGCGCCTTGAAGAAAAACAAAACGCAGGGACTCACGGGGCGCAGCAGCGACGGAGACGCAGCGCAAACGTCGCGGAGAAACCATCCTGGAGAAGCCACTCAACAGCCCGAGACTCCAGGGCCAGGATAATGTCGGCAAAGTTCCTCACAGGGGTAAAACCACGCTGGACATCAAAGCTAGCTCCCCGATGGACCAGAGTGACAGGTCGGTTGACAGCGCGGCAAATCAACGACACATTGTCTGAACTGCCCAGGGCGATCGGTCTCGTCTGCGCAGCTTATTGAAAAACTGCGTCGGCGGCATCATCGGGGCAAGCACCTCCAGGCAAAAAAAAAAAAAAAAAAAAAAAAACGGCAGCGCCTTGGTACAGTGTGTTGCGCCGCGAGCCAGGCACGAACAGATCCTGATACACGTTCAAACAGTGGCTCCATCGCAAGAGCGCCACCTCGAGCCCACGCTAAGTAGGGCGCGCCGACATAACCTGGACACGAGTCTTTGACAGAAGACGCGGACACACTAAATTCGCCAAATTCAAGCTGCCAAATCATCAGAGGCGGCAGTTTTGTTGATGAATGGCAGCAGTTCGCGACGACGCTGGGCTTCGCCCATGGCAAGGGCGCGCGCGTTGCCCCAGCGGGCAGCAAGCTGACGGGCAACTGCATGGAGATCGGAAAGCTGCGTGCCAGACGGATCTGGAACTCCAGACAGCGCGACGCGTCGCCTCCGAGAGCCCCAGGCACAGAGGCACGATGTGAGCTTTGCTTTGATGGCTCGCTGTCTGCGCGTTGGCACGCGGGAAGCTCCCTCCACCAAGCTGCGGCTCAAGCAGAGCAGTCTGCACTCGACACAGTGAAGCGCGAAACACGAGATGATCTTACGCGCGCACGACGGACCGCAGAGAAACTCGCCGAGCTCGGGGGGAGCCGCAGAGCACGCCGAGGAAAAACGAGGCGCCCTTGTCGAAGAGACTACACATAGCAGACAAGGCCCAACGCACCTGCCCTTCCAGAGAGAGGGGGCCTCCAAAACGGGCAGAGTCAGCGACGGCTTCGGCGGCGGCCTCAATCGCGTCTTCGATCGCCCCGAGAGCAGCTCACGGGTCAAAGTCCAGAGGGCCCGCAGAGCCCAAGATCCCCCGAAGGTACCGGGGGTACTTCTGGCGCCCAGCGACCCAAGACGGAATCCGAAGGCCTCCAGACCGGGGAACACGAGGCAGAAGAACGACGGGCGCAAGATCCGAAAGTGGCTAATAATCTCCATTGACAGCCCACAAGACAACGCCATTCGGAATATAATCCAGTAGCGTGGCGCTGGGGAATATCACAATGGATTATATCAAGTCACCCGAGAGATGCATTAAAAGGACGCTCGCCAAAGCAGCCCATCACACAACGGGTAAAATGATCTTGCTGGACTTCACACATCTGCGGAAAGATCTCGCCGAATAGTGCCGAAAGACTGCCGGCCCGGCACCTCGCCCTCCCCGCAGCGCGGCGAGAGCCCCCCCCGCCAGCGCGAAACGTAAAGTCGGCCAGCAAAAAAGATGCGCACACATCTGCTGGAAGAAGGCGCCGCTGCATCTGAGGGAGCTCGCCTCTCATGCGAATGGGAGCCTGGTCGGGGTCGATGCGCGCGCCTCTTATCTGCGCGCCGCCATTCCCGCCGTGGAAGGCGAGAGAACGCGCGCGCCCAGTGACAGGAATGCGGTGCCAACGCACGCGAAATTGAAAGCGGAGACGCTGGTGAATCAAGAAAAGACTACCTCCAGCAGAGCGATCCTCGAAGAAAGCCCCTTTCCAAAAGAAATCGTTGATATCATTGTTGAGCAATTCTAAACCATGCCGAGAACCACGAGCTCCCTGAATCCAAACAAACGAGGAAGAAATACTGGACAAGGCTGAACCACTACTGGATGCCGCTGAGCTGGATCGAGAAGCCGAACGCCGCGGCATCTTGCTCCGTACAAGCAGGCGCCCACGCATGCGACTACTATCAATCCCAAACATCGGATCGGACGTGTTAGGCAAGGTAGACCCCTATTCGGTAGCACTCTTCGTCATCGCATATGCCTGCCCTGGTCTACCTGCAGAGACTTGAAAGCTTCAAGTCGGGCTGGATTCTGGCGGACATGTCATGGTTCTCCTGAAGCGTACACAGGATGGTGACGTCAACATCTTTGGTGAAGAACAAAATGTCCTAATGACCGCTGACACCGAGGAAGATGTCTGAGCCGATACCTTTGGCGGCACACTGCTGCGGGATACCGTGACACACCCGACCAATAATGATATTGCGACGGCGCACATCAGGAGTCGCATCGCGCCGAACGCGAATGGGAATGGCGCCGCTTGGGCTGGTGTAGACCAGGCCGTTAGTCTTGACGACCTCCCAGAAGGCCTTGGCACCAGTGGCGCTCTCAAACGATACACTGAAGGCCTTGTTGAGATTAACAGCTGCCACTTCCTTGGGCGACTTAACGTGCGTCCGAAGATGTGGAATGACCTTTGTGTCCATGTAGTTAGTCATCACCCTCGCCAACTTCGGACCCTTAAAACCGCCAAACCATGTCTTCCAAGGATCTGAGCCATCGTCATAGCTGCCAGAGTCTGTGAACGAGGTACTGACTTTATCCGTGCAACTTCGAACTTGACGCTGGTTGCCAGCAGCACCACGGCCGCGTGCATCCACAGCATCGGCAGCACTGGTGAAAGGGCAAGGCACCGAGACGAGCAGGGGGCGGCAGCGGATGCGCCCGCGGGCGCGACGGCGGCTGCAGCGCCCTCCACGGCTGCAAGAAGAGAACGTGGGAGTGTCCATCTGGGCACGACGCCCAGATCGCCCTCTGCAGAGAACTGCCCGCTCAGAAGGCTGCCTGTCAGCAGAGCATACTGAGCCGAAATGGCTCCGGAGCCAAAATGGCAACGGAGGAGGAAGAGGAGGCGGAGGAGGAGGAGGAGGAGGAGCTGGAGGAGGCGGTGGAGGAGGAGGGGGAGGAGGAGAAGGAGGAGGAGGAGGAGAGCTGGAGGAGAGTTGGAGGAGGTGGGGGAGGATGAAGGGAAGGCGGAGGAGGAACGACCTCCAAGGACGTCACGGGATTTCCTGGGAGGATGTGGAGGAGAAGGTGGAGGTTGCCAGCAGTAGCGGGAGGGGCTGGATGCCACTGCCTCCCGCTCAGTCTCCTCTCGCCCACGAGCATACGCCCCTCTTTCCGTAGACAGGAATTCCCAGTAAACCACAGAGCTGCCAGCGGGTATGATAGAACACGCAAAGTGGGCACCCAGACCCCTCGGGGCATGAACAAATCATGACAAGATGGTTTTCTCTGTGTTCGGCCTCCAGGGGCCTTTAGCGGGCCTCGGGACCGTGACAAAAAAACTGCTCAGGATGAAAATCCGGCCCCGGGAAATGGGTCCAGACCTCGTGGTGTCGACGATATGAAATTCATGGCGTCGGTGGTCTGGGCAGCAGGGTTGGCGCCGCAGACATGCAGGGGTCAAGGCGTTCGTCCCACATGTCCGCGCGCTCGCCCTGGATACCCCAGCAGAGCTGTACAGCAGCACGAACTTTGGTCAACCCGTGGGAACCAACGCGCGCACTGTCAGCACCTGCCTAAGCCAATTCACCACTCCGAGCAGAGAGTGTGGCCGTCATTATGGCAGGGGCTCTATGCCCAGGTTGAAGCATGTTCAACGCTGGGGCGAAATCACCATCATGAGCGGGCCAGGTCTACAGCGAGAGCACCATTCCGAGCTGGGGGCACGACTGGTGCTGACGGGATGCGAGCTAAGAACGCGGCTGTCTCTGAGGCGACGGCGCGATTCCATTTTGCTATGCGGCCAGTGCGCAGGAGAGCCTAGCATTCCGAGCCAGGGATGTGGCTGTCACTTGGGACGAGAAGTATTCCGAGCCAGCGGCTTGGGCGACATACTCAGAAACAGTTACAGCTCAGTTGCCGTTCCACCAATCCTCGCGCTCGCAGGTTGCATCATAAACAGGCGTGCGCTGATTTGCACTCTCATGAATTAAATTCTCTCAAACTACGGATCTAATAGATGCTCTCCCACAAAGCTCACCAATCCCCTTCATCATTGAAATCACAACTTCGCACTGTGATTACAGTTATTATGTCCCTGATATCTGTGTCTCGCAACTACATGTTCCCTGCCTTTCGGTATGAATTCAGTGTCGCTGAACATCGGCGCCAGCATTATTCGTATGGCAGATACAACAGACTGCGCGCCCGCATGTGTTCATGAAAATGTGTCCAAGGTCCAAAGGTTTCACATGTCGGCTGGACGTCGCCGCCCGAACATCTGGGTACCTATTCCATCTGAACATACATTGTACGTACACCCTTCGTGCCTTGAGCCCGACTCTGCTGGGGACGGCAGAATGCTCGACTCGCACTAGCAGACAACAGACATAAAATCGTAGTCTTAGCGGATCCTTGGAGGTCGCATATCCGAAGGCCTGGCCACCACTTCATGGCATTGGCGTGGATATTCCAAGACCTGGAGGGTGTGGCGAACACCGTTCGATAACATACGACCGTGGTCTGCGATTGGACCGTCATCAGAACGGCGTAAGCAATGATCTGCTATTCTCCCGACCCACGCCAATCGTAATAGACTGGATCATGGCGCCGTCATGCCATCGCCACCCCTCCTGGAATAATCAATCATCTGCCGTGTCTTCCCACATCATAATTCAAAGAAATCGTGGCGTCATCCATTGCCATGGATATGCGGTCGAACGCGTGAGTGAACATCGCACTCTACAAGACTCGAATGCGGCAAACCAACATGTGAATGAGTCCGCGTACTCTCACAATGTATCACCAGACTACAAAACAGAAGCCACATCATGGCAGGTGTCTTGCCTGATCAGATCGCGCACGTAATCCAAAACACACACACACACATGCACACGTGTGAGGATGTTTTCTTGTTACCTAATAGCGAAGACTGATAGGTTTCTCATGGGGTCAGAAGAGAGCATCTGATGACTCCCCAGGGGGGTCTGGGCGGGAACCGGACAGGCGAGGGCTGGGCTCGCTTTAAGCAAACAGTCACACACTTCGTGCTCTTCGACCTCCCAGAACTCCACTCCCGGGCCACATTTTCAATGCCCGGAGCCAACTGTAGGCCACTTCGTGCTCTTCGACTTCCCAGAACTCCACTCCCGGGCCACATTTTCAATGCCCGGAGCCAACTGTAGGCCACTTCGTGCTCTTCGACTTCCCAGAACTCCACTCCCGGGCCACATTTTGAATGCCCGGAGCCAACTGTAGGCCACTTCGTGCTCTTGGACTTCCCAAAACATTATTCCCGGGCCACATTTTGAATGCCCGGAGCCAACTGTAAGCCACTTCGTGCTCTTCCACTTCCCAGAACTCCACTCCCGGGCCACATTTTGAATGCCCGGAGCCAACTGTACGCCACTTCGTGATCTTCCACTTCCCAGACTTCCAAGACTCAATATCTTTTCGGTCATCATCCCATCATCCTCCTCAATCATCACATCATCATCATCATCAATGGCTTCGCCGAGCACCCCGGTGGAGACTCAGGCCTTACGGGTCCGTGCCCATACTACTACTACTACTACTACTACTACTACTACTACTACTACTACTACTACTACTACTACTACTACTACTACTACTACTACTACTACTACTACTACTACTACTACTACTACTACGACATCACACAAAATCCATGCATGGGAGTGCCTGAAAAGAGAGCTACATTCATTGATGCAAGTGTGTCGTTTGAGGCTCAGCCCGTTGATAGCAGTGTCTCGTTTGGAATCACATCCGTTGATAGCAGTGTCTTGTTTAGACCTCAATGCATGTATACAAAGATCTCATTTGGAGATACCGTTATCGAGAGCAGTGTTTCTACTGCTACTACCACTGCTCCCATCACTCCTACTCGTTCACTCCACACACTACAACTACTACTTCACTGTTACCACTACTACCATCACTACTACTTCTACTGCTACTACTACTACTGTTACTATTACTGCTGCTGCTGCTGTTGCTGCTGCTGGTGTAGCTATTGCTACTGCAACTACTGGCAGTGCCACTGCGACTGCCGCTGATGTTGCCACTGCGACTGCCACTGCGAATCCGAATGCGACTGCGAGAACACCAGAATTCTACAACAGCACTCTTACATGAATACCACAGGCAATGTTTCCAGCTATGCTTCTACACATCGCTGTTAGGTTGCTTTGCCGGGGTAATTTGTGTGTGTGTCATGTTTGCACACGGAAGGCGCTGCGCACGCGTGCGCGCGCAGGTCCCGTCGTACACGGTCTTCCCAATTTCAAGCAGAAGCGGGAGCGCCCCAAGAAAAATTAGAGCGAAACAACTGGTTGTCAATGCTATCCGAACCACGGAGAGGGCATGCCGCAGCATATGCATGACATACTGGTATCCGTCGCAGCCCGGTGCGCAACCTTGAAACAGTACTGCGACGCTTGGCACTCAATCTCTCTCTCTCTCTCTCTCTCTCTCTGCATCCCCCGCTGACTTCACACTGGAAAATACTGTCCGCACAGCATACACCTGCTCGGAATTCACGGAGATGCGAACCGGCTCGGGGATGTCCACATTCCACATCCACTTATGCAACTCCTGATGGTGAGGATGGGGCACTAGAGGCAACTGGAAGAGGTCATTCGCAATACAATGGGTGATCAGAGCCTCATCATTCCCAACGGGCCCGTTTTGAGCTAGAGACGTGCAAGAGAGAGAGAGAGAGGAAGGACAGACAAGCAGGCAGGCAGGCAGGCAGGCAGGCAGAAGGCAGTCAGGCAGACAGACAGACAGACACAGAGACAGACAGACAGACAGACAGACAGACAGACAGACTGACAGACAGACAGACAGACAGACAGACAGAAAGACAGACAGACAGACAGACAGACAGAAAGGCAGAGATGGAAAGAGAGAGAGAGAGAGACACACACATCTAGAGAGAGGGAGAGCAAGAAAGAGAGAGTGAGACACAGAGAGAGATAGAGAGACAGACAGAGAGAGAGAGGGAGAGCGAGACGGCGGGGAAGAACGGAGAGAGGCAGGGCAACGGTCAGGGCGACGGCGAGAGCGAGGGGCGCGGGTGCGGCCGGGGCCGGGGCGGGGGCCCCACGAGGCGAGCGCAGGGGGGGGGGGCGGGCAGGGGCGAGGGCAGACGGGGGGGGGGTGCACGCGGAGGGGCAGGGCGGCGCAGGGCGGCGCAGGGCGGGCGTGGGCGGAGGCAGGGTCGGGGCCTGGGCGGGGCAAGCGAGGGAGGGGCCCGGGCGGGGCGGGCCGGGGAGTGGGGAAGGGGGCGCGTGCCCAGACAGCGGGCGCCTCGAAAAGATCGAGGCGGAGGTTTTTGTCCCCACGTGCTTCCTGGGGGTCTGGTTTTCTTCCCCACATGCTTCGTGGGGTTATTGTTTTCTTCTCTGCCGCGTCCCACCCGCGCTCACTCGCTCACCTCCCTCTTCCCCTCCTCCTGACAGCACTGCTCAGCACAGCACAGCTCAGCTCAGCTCAGCACAGCACGGCACAGCTTAGCACAGTTCAGCTCAGCTCAGCACAGCACAGCACAGCACAGCTCAGCACAGCACAGCACAGCACAGCACAGCAGTCGCCTGCCCGCCGGCACAGCGCAGCACAGCACAACACAGTATAGCACAGCACATCACAGCACAGCTTACCCAATACGTATGCACCACATACTTGGCACCCACATGAGACACACGTCCAAATACGGCCGCACACGCATCATACACATACACATGACACGCCATACACAACACGCACGTGTAGGATGCGCATGGCACGGCAGGCATGGCCCTTTCTCGACACCAGAGGGAGTGCGTTGGGGGTGGTCCCTGAGCGCCTGCGTTACAGGCGACCTGTGCGTGGCGCTTTCTCGAAACCATAGGGGGTGCGCAGGGGGTGGTCCATCACCGCGGTCTATCCGTCCCAGGGTCGCGGGGCGTGGCGGGCGTGGTATTTTCTCCACGCCACACGGGGTGCGCAGGGGGTGGTCCCTCACCGCGGTCTCTATCCGTCCCAGGGTCGCGGGGCGTGCCGGGCGTGGCGCTTTCTCGACACCATAGGGGGTGCGCAGGGGGTGGTCCCTCACCGCGGTCTCTATCCGTCCCAGGGTCGCGGGGCGTGGCGGGCGTGGTACTTTCTCCTCGCCACACCCTGCGCAGGGGGTGGTCCCTCGCCAAGGTCTTGGTCCGTCCCAGGATCGGGGGGCGTGGCATGCGTGGCACTTTCTCGATGGCATTTTCTCGACACCATCGGGGGTGCGTAGGGGGGGGTCCCTCACCGCGGCCGCTACGCACGACGGTCGTCCAGGGCATAGCATGCGTGGTACTTTCTCGACCCCATAGGGGGTGCGCAGGGGGTAGTCCCTCACCGCGGCCGCTATGCACGACGGTCGCCCAGGGCATAGCAGGCGTGGCACTTTCTCGACACCATAGGGGGTGCGCAGGGGGTGGTCCCTCACCGCGGCCGCTATGCACGACGGTCGCCCAAGGCATAGCAGGCGTGGCGCTTCCTCGACACCAAAGGGGGTGCGCAGGGGGTGGTCCCTCAGCGCTATGCACGACGGTCGCCCATGGCATAGCAGGCGTGGCACTTTCTCGACACCAAAGGGGGTGCGCAGGGGGTGGTCCCTCACGGCGGCCGCTATGCACGACGGTCGTCCAGGGCATAGCAGGCGTGGCACTTTCTCGACACCAGAGGGAGTGCGCAGGGGGTGGTCCGTCAGCGCTATGCACGACGGTCGTCCAGGGCATAGCAGGCGTGGCACTTTCTCGACACCAGAGGGGGTGCGCAGGGGGTGATCCCTCACCGCGGCCGCTATGCACGACGGTCGTCCAGGGCATAGCAGGCGTTGACCCCATAGGGGGTGCACCGGGGGTGGTCCCTCACCGCGGCCGCTATGCACGACGGTCGTCCAGGGCATACCAGGCGTGGCACTTTCTCGACACCAGAGAGGGGTGCGCAGGGGGTGGTCCCTCACCGCGGCCGCTATGCACGACGGTCGTCCAGGGCATAGGGCGTTGCACTTTCTCGACACCAGAGGGGGTGCGCAGGGGTGGTCCCTCACCGCGGCCGCTATGCACGACGGTCGTCAGGGCATAGCAGGCGTGGCATTTTCTTGACAACAGAGGGGTGCGCAGTGGGTGGTCCCTCACCGCGGCCGCTATGCACGACGGTCGTACAGGGCATACCAGGCGTGGCACTTTCTCGACACCACAGGGGGTGCGCAGGGGGTGGTCCCTCACCGCGGCGGCTATGCACGACGGTCGCCCAGGTCATACCAGGCGTGGCACTTTCTCGACACCAGAGGGGGTGCGCAGGGGGTGGTCCCTCACCGCGGCCGCTATGCACGACGGTCGTCCAGGGCATACCCGGCGTGGCACTTTCTCGACACCATGGGGGGTGCGCAGGGGGTGGTCCCTCACCGCGGCCGCTATGCACGACGGTCGTCCAGGGCATAGCAGGCGTGGCATTTTCTCGACACCATAGGGGATACGCAGGGGGTGGTCCCTCACCGCGGCCGCTATGCACGACGGTCGTCCAGGGCATTGCAGGCGTGGTGGCATTTTCTCGACACCATACAGGGTGCGCAGGGGTTGGTCCCTCACGCAAGCAAGCACATAAGATTTAAATTAAGTATGTGGGGGTCCGCGGAAGCGAAATCGCAGTTTGGGCCTCTCGGGGCCATCGCCGGGCCTCGGGACCGTCAAAAAACGGCTCGGGATGAGAAACCTGTCTGGGGGAATTGGTCGGGAGGTCGGGGGCCCGCGTCTCGAAAAAATCGAGACGTCGGATGTGTGGGTAGGGAGGCTTACGGTGGGCGGGGTGGGGGGGTGCAAGGACGGGGGGGGGGAGACGGAAGAGGCACAAGCGAAGCGGGCGCCCGCGCCATGCCTGAGCAGCCTACTCCTCCCACCCATCCCTTCCCACTGCGCCGATGCTTTCTCGATCCGGCGACGGGAGTCCTAGCGTGGTCCCCCGCCGCTTGATTCGCAATCAGAACGGGAAGCTCGGTACGTTAGATTCGAAAGGGGGAGGGTCAGGATGAAGCGGCGGGCGAGCAGGATGATGAGCAGGAGGAAGAGACGGGAGGAGCAGCAGCAGGAGCAGGAGCAGGAGGAGCGAAGAGGAAGGAGTCGGCTCCAGCTATGCGACCCCGCGCTGGGGCGAGAATGCTATCATGAACGATGGGGCCACTGCGCCGATCCCGAAGTGGGTCCAGCGCTGCCGCGGGAGCACCAGTCTTGAAGGTCCGAAGGCGTCCTGAGTGATGTTTGAAACCCTGCGCGCTGGCAAACAGCACACAGGATAAGACTGGCCCCACCCTAGAGGGCCACATGCGAACCCTACCCCTACCCCCCACGATTTCTGAGGGGGAGGGTGGGGTTCACTCCGTTCGGGAGCTCCTGAGCGAAATGAACCCCACCCTCCCCCTCAGAAATCGTGGGGGGTAGGGGTAGGGTTCGCATGTGGCCCCCTACACCCGCACAGGATCTGGGATGGGAGGAGAATGGCAATCGGATCGAGCGTGTGTACTAGGGGGCGGAGGGAAGGTATAGGGAGGCAGGATATGCAAAGAGGGGACATGTGGCCGACTTCGGAAACCCTGAACCCAATAAGAAAAAAACACACCTCTTGAGGAAATACCTGTTACTTAGTACTTCCGCTAGCTTCCGCCCGCGGAGCCGCCTCCATTTTACTTCTGCCGCCTTCCGCCGCCTTCCGCTGAGGAAGAGATGTCAACTGCTTCGACCCTCCAAGGCGAGTCACTTTCTGGAGCGCCACATGTAGAGTATTTTGTGAAATGGGAGCGGAGGGACGGCGACGGAGGCGGGAGAGTCAGAGAGGGGACGTGTGGGGCAGGGATAGAGGTCACCCAGATGGGGTCCGAGTAGACGGGGCCGAAGGATCGCGCCAAGTCGCCAGTGAAGCACCGATGCATCGGCGATGCATCGGCAATGTCGGCAAGGCACCAGCGACGTCGGCATGGAGAACGCTGGGCTACACATCGCACAGCATCGCCGATGCATCGGCGATGCGGTGCGATCCTCCGACCCCATCTGCTCCGAGCCCATCCAGGAGGCCCAAGATCAGCGGCGAGCGAGTGGAGGGAAGTGAGGAGGAGAAGGCCTCCTCAGAAGTCGGTGGGACTTCTCGGAAGCCCTCGCGTCTTCTGAAACGTTTCCTATGTCTTCGGGGAAGGCCCAGAAAACTTCTCAGAAGGCCACGGGACTTCCGAGACGTCCGAGAAGGCCCGCCGCTGCTCGGACGCCTGGTGGCTTGGGGGTCACAACTCGGCTCTCCCGCGGCCGCTCGGGCCGATCAGGGCATCCCCAGAACGCCCTCGGCGGGGCGCAGCCGCTGGAAGGCATCCCGAGGCTGGAAAACCGCTGAGAGCCTCCGAAGACGCCCGAAAACCTCGACACTCTGGCCTGGCAAGACTTCCCCCCCCCCGGGCTCGCCGCCGACAGGAGGGGAGCAGCCGTCGCCGAGGTGGCTGCCACGAGACGCGCGGCAGGGAGGGCCGCGCGAGGGGAGGGGCCCGCAGGGGGGGCGGGGAGCCTTCGGCGGCTGCCTCGCGCGGCCCCTGAGCGCCTCCTGGAGCGCGGCGGTGCTCGACCGGCCCTGGCCCGTCAGCAGCGCGGCATGGAAGTTGAAGACGTCGTCGTCCTGAGGGGGGCAGGGAACCACGGGACGCTGACCTAAGGAACCCTAAATCAGGAACGAGGCCCCTTTTTTGTCCACGATTTGAACTTCGACTTCCGATCGAAAACCTGAGGAAAACCTGAGGCAAGCTGTGAAACACGTAAGGAACACGGAGCCCCTCCCCAACGAAAAGGGTTCCTTCTTCAGGGCCCCGACTGTAAGGCGAAAGAAACAAGCACACACACACACACGTGTTCACGTCGCAGCGCGGCAAAGTCGATCCGCACGCGCGCTCGGAAGGCCGGGAGGGGGCGTTGCTAATCAGCCCGGGTGCAGGAGGGGACAGACCAACTACACAGCAAGCAGCAACAAGAACGACAAACAAGCGAAACCCAACGACGGTCTGCAACACCACGGAAACTCATAATTCGCAAACAACAAAACAAGCAAAACACAACATAAACACAAGACACCAAACGACAACAATCCAACAAGCATGCAGTCGGACCTCATTGGACAGGACACGCGAGAGGACAAAAGACCTTCCGAGGGCCACACACTGCCGTACGAATGCAGGAGGCACGGGTCGCGAGACACAGGACAAAAAGGAAATGCGGGATGACGATTAATAACAAATGGGAGAGAACGATTAAAAACAAAATTGAAAAAACAAAAAAACAAAAAAAAAAAAAAAACAAAAAAAAAAAAAAAAATCTGATTGGAGGAGAACAATTTAAAACATAGTTTTTCAGCCCGCGGCCAGTTTTTTCTAATCGTCATCCCGGGCGCCGCCGCGTCAACACGGCCCCCGGTCATTTATCAATCGTCATCCAGGATTACCCTTGATTTGGCAGGGCCGACCTACTAATCCGGGCCGACTGCAGAGCGTAAAAGATCGGAAGCCCCTGGACAGCGAGGCGCCACCCGGGGGGGCTCCACGGCCGTGCTGCGGCGCCAGCGGCACTGCTAGGGGGCCACATGCGAACCCTACCCCTGCTCCACGGCCGTGCTGCGGCGCCAGCGGCACTGCTAGGGGGCCACCTGCGAACCCTACCCCTGCCCCCCACGATTTCTGATGGGAGGGTGGGGTTCACTTCATTTGGGAGCTCCCGAACGAAGTGAACCCCACCCTCCTCAGAAATCGTGGGGGGTAGGGGTAGGGCTCGCGGGTGGCCCCCTAACTGCCCCGTCGGGGGGCGCCCGAGGGCCACGGCAGGCCCGCGCCGCGGCGGCGCCGGCGCAGCTCTCCGACGCGCCGCGCGGATCGTCCAGCCTCGAACGATCGCGGCCCTCAGACAGCGCCTCGCCATCGCTCGGACGTTCATTCCCTGTGCTTTTTTCGGTTTCGTGCGTGGGTTTTTCGCCAAATGATCAAGGATGCTCCTCGATGGCCCTCGCCGAAGGAAAAATGCACACGTCCGAGCGATGCCAAGGCGCAGATCGTCCAACGCTGGACGGAGTGGGGCCCTCCGGTGGCGGCCCGCCCAGAGCGCCCAGCGTCCGGTCGTCGCCGAGCCTCGGCACGGCACGCGCCTGCTGCAGGAAGGGCGAAAGGCGCTGTCAACGCTCGTGAACTCGTGGCGCTCCGCGCGGATTTTCCTTGGGTCTGCGCCGGTGGACCCGCCCTCCCTGGCGCGCGGGGCGCGCCAGGGGCAACGCCAGAGGCACCGCCAGGGGGCGCCAGGAGGAGGAGGAGAAGGAGGAGGAGGAGAAGGAAAAGGAGTTGGAGGAGGAGGAGCGCCAAACGTTTATGTTCATGGCGTTGTTTCTTCTTCGACGTCTGCTTGTGGGCGTTTCTCGCCCCCGAGGTCCTCTTGGTTCTGCACCGTCGGCGCCCTTGGCATGCCAGGGCTGTCGCCCTCGTCCTGGCGGGTTGGGGGGTGGGGGGGGAGGGTGCTCTCCCTCCTCCCTCCTCCTCCTCCTCCCTCCTCTCTCCTCCTCCTCCTCCTCCTCCTCCTCCTCCTCCCTCCTCCTCCTCCTCCTCCTCCTCCTCCTCCCCCTCCGCCTCCTCCTCCTCCTCCCCCTCCTCCTCCTCCTCCTCCTCCTCCTCCTCCTCCTCCTCCTCCTCCCTCCTCCTCCTCCTCCTCTCCTCCTCCTCCTCCTCCTCCCTCCTCCTCCTCCTCCTCCTCCCCCCTCCCCTCCCTCCCGTCCCTCCCTCCTCTTCCTGCTCCTCCTCCTCCTCCTCCTCCTCCTCCTCCTCTCCTCCTCCTCCTCCTCCTCCCTCCCTCCCTCCCTCCCTCCCTCCCTCCCTCCCTCCCGCCCTCTTCCTCCTCATCCTCCTCCGCCTCCTCCTCCTCCTCCTCCTCCTCTCTCCTCCTCCTCCCCTCCTTCCGTCTCCCGAGGCCAACGGTGGCGCACCGAGCCCGGTCGCCACCAGTGGCCTCGGGAGACCGGCGCCGGACCTCGGGGGGCCGTCCGCGCGACGGCTCGGGGTCAGAAGCCGGCCCTGGGGCAGGGCACAGTCGAGGCGTTGACCTAAGGAACCCTAAATAAGGAACGAGGCCCCTTTTTCCCGTAAGTTCAACCTCGATTTCCCATGGGAAACCTCAGGAAAACCCGAGGCAAACTTTGAAACAATCAAGGAACACCGAGCCCCTCCCCATCGAAGAGGGTTCCTTCTTCAGCGCCCCGACTGTACTCGAGAGGTCCACGGAGGCCCTCGCACCGAGCAGCTCCAGGCGCCAAAGCGGCGGCGATCAAAGACGGGTCTTCCCGCGAGATGACATGCAGTCAACCCGTCTTGCGACGCGATGAGGATGCAGCGGCCTTGGACGCCCATGTCGGAGCTGTTCGTGCGGGGAGCGGCCAACGAAACTGGCCAAGGATGGCCCGAGGAGGCAAGGATGCAAGGGTACCCTTGTGAAGGTTGCCTGTCCTCACTGTGCGGGTTGACTGTACGCGAGGTGACATAGCGACCTTACGCGGTGGCTTACGCAGGCCGCCAGCGCGGCATGGCGTTGGAGACGAGGGCGCTTACGCGCGACCTTCGGCGGGCAGCTTACGCGCCAATGCCGGCGCAGTCGACCCCGTTGTGTGAGTCGTTCAGATGTTCCTTTTCAAGAGCGGGCAGGGCACCAGCGGCACCAGCAGGCGTCGCAGCGTGAGCGAATGCAGCGAACTGGCGAGGCAATTGGCCGGGCAAGTATTGGGCTGCGCACCAGAAAGTAGTCCTTCTCCAGAGCGAGAACGACAGCCGAAGGAAGAAGAGAAAGAGTCGAGGCGCAATATCCAAGGCGACATTGACGGCGATGTTGATAAACGGGGATGATGGGAGTATGGTTTCTGCGACGCCGAACCCGCGCAGAACAAATCGTAGAACATTGCGCACGACGCTTTCCTACACTTGGGTTGGCCACGAACTACCCCCACCTGCAGCACCGAAACCTACATCGCCGTTACCTACATCGCGGTTAGCGTGTCTCTAGGGCTCCCAACTTCGCGCTTCGCGCTCCGCGAAGCGCGAAGCGCGAAGCGCGAATAATTTCGCGTTCTCGCGCCGCCCCCCCAAAGGGAGAAAAGGAGGACGAGGAGGAGGGGGAGGAGGAACGAGGACCGCGAAGCGCGAATAACTTCGCGCCCTCGTAAGAGCCCTTGGCGTCTACGGCAGATGTCTTGTCTGGGCATCAGGGCTTCCCTACCACAGGAGAGAAGGTCAGCCTGCCTTCGTCGGCGCAGCAACGCCGAATGCCTCGGCATCCACCAGTCGCTCACTCGCCGCTCGCTGGGGCGATCCATTTTTGTATGTTCCTTGATGTGTGAGCTTTGCTTATGCGTGTATGTATGTATGTTCTCGTTCTGTGTACATACCTCGATGTCCAGCGACACAGATCGTAGTATGATCTCTTCCGCGTTATTCCTCTCACTGTACATTATTTATATATCCCTCTCTCTCTCGCTCTCTCTGTTCTGCCTCTCTCTCTCTCTCTCTGTCTGTCGCTCCTCTATATATATATATATATATATATTGACCTATATATATTATTGTTTGTCTCTCTTTTTCTCTCTTTCTCCCTTTTTCTCTCTCTCTCTCTCTCTTTCGCTCGACGTCCACCTCTCTCCGTGTTAAAGCAAAAGTGCCTGGGCCGAACGGTCCTGCACTGTCCCTGGATGCGCGCCTGAAGCCTAGTTTCTGCGGTGCCGATGATGGAGATCTCACCTCCGAGAAAAACGCTTATCAATCCAAGTGTGCCCATCGACGCTCGAACGCTGTTTTTTGTCCAGGATGGCCTTGAGCATCGGACTGTTTTTCCCAACCATCCTGTGGTGTTGGGTCCTCGTTTTGAAAAGACGGTGCCCCGCGTCTCCTCTTCCCCCTTCCTCCTCCCGCTGCCCCCTCCCTCGTCACCGTACCCATTTCGGCACACCCCTTACACGTTTCGTGGCCCCATAGGGAGGCCCCAGTGGCTGCGCTGGCATTCCGGCGCCGCACCCATTTCAGCACACGCCTCACACGCTTTGGCATGGCGGCGCCGCACCCATTTCGGCACACCCCTCACACGCTTCGTGGCCCCATAGGGAGCTCCACCGAAGGCCCCAGTGGCTGCGTTGGCATGGCGGCGCCGCGCCCATTTCGGCACACCCCTCACACGTTTCGTGGCCCCATAGGGAGCGCCACCGAAGGCCCCAGTGGCTACGTTGGCATGGCGGCGCCGCACCCATTTCGGCACACCCCTCACACGTTTCGTGGCCCCTAGGGAGCGCCACCGAAGGCCCCAGTGGCGGCGTTGGCATTCCGGCGCCGCACCCATTTCGGCGTTTCGTGGCCCCATAGGGAGCTCCACCGAAGGCCCCAGTGGATGCGTGCGCATGGCGGCGCCGCACCCATTTCGGCACACCCCTCACACGCTTCGTGGCCCCATAGGGAGCGCCACCGAAGGCCCCAGTGGATTCGTTGGCATGGCGGCGCCGCACCCATTTCGGCACACCCCTCACACGCTTCGTGGCCCCAGAAGGAGCTCCACCGACGGCCCCAGTGTCTGCGTTCGCATGGCGGCGCCGCACCCATGTCAGCACACGCCTCACACGTTTCGTCGCCCCATAGGGAGCTCCACCGAAGGCCCCAGTGGCTGCGTTCGCATGCGCCCACCGCACCAATTTCGGCACACCCCTCACACGTTTCGTGGCCCCATAAGGAGCTCCACGTCCACGACTCGCGCGCGTCGCTGGGACCCTTTCGGGGCGATCAGCGCGCGTCGCGCAAACTCCGCGCTGCGCTCTGCCCAGCGCCTCGCCCGCCCTTCGCCGCTTTTCCAGCAGCCAGAGCCAGGCGCGCTATCAGTTAGCCAGCAAGCACTGTCTGCCCTGCACAGCGGACGAACCGCGCGCGTCACTGTGACCCCTTCGGGGCGACCTGCGCGCGTCGCGAGGGCTCCGCGTTGCGCTGCGCCCGCAGACTTGGACTTTGGAGTGCGCGGCCAAAGAGGAAGGAACATGAGGAGATGAAGCGGGCGCGATCCTCAGTGGGGCGTGCCGACATGGGCGTCGCGGCGCGCGGGCGCTGCTGTCGGGGTTCCCAGGGAAGCTCCCTGCGAAGGCTACATTCAGCGTCGCGAGTTCACACTCGGAGACATTTACACTAGGCGTATCCATGCTCGCACTCATGCACATAGAATCAATCGCACACAGCCTCAATCATAATCAGACTCACTCGCGCTCAGACTCACCCGCGCTCAAGATTTCATACTCAGGCCGATCGTTTTCCGTTTCGTCTTCCGTTCGTATCGTGTACCCGGCCAAAAAATGTCGGCACCCCCCTCACACGGTTCGTGGCCCCGTAGGGCTCGCCACCGAAGAAGATGTTCACAATAGCGGTGCTCACAGCTGCATATGGTTGGGTCCTTCGCCAGGCGAATGTTTATTGCTAGCTCATGGGAGCCTGATTCAAGCAGAGCACTGCAGCCACAAACACAACGCTAAGCACTGCGAAACTGCTAGTTGAGAAAGCTGTTCCTTTCAAGCCGGCGAAATCGCTCCAACCAGACGGGGCTAATCAATTAGCAGGAGTGGGGCTAGGATCGGGCGGGCAGACCCTAGCGGGCGGGTCGGGAAGGCGGGCCCAGGCGGCCAGGTCGAGCAAGCGGGTTGCTGAAGCGTGAGTCCTGCATGGATCGCGAGCGAGGAAGTCTCGAGGGATAGCGCGATTTCAGTAGAAGTGATGAGAAAGGCCAGAGCGAAAGCGTGATTCCTGGGAGTCGAGGGCGCGGCGTTTGAATAAATTACAAGGAAGTCCCACGCGAGAGCGCGATTCATGTATAAATTGTGAGGAAATCCCGCGCGAGAGCGCGATGTTGGAATACACTGTGGGGAAGTATCAGGCGGGATCCGTTGTCGTTGCTGTTGCTGTTGTTTTTGTTGTACCTCGGGGGCCAGGGGCTCAGCTTGAGCACGAAGACTTTCCCTGATAAAAACCGTGTGCCAGCCCCGGGAGGAGAGCATTTCGATTGAAAAACACAAGCTGTACACTGGCAGGGTGGATCAGCAACGAGTCTTCTTCAAGAACGAGCATTCAACGAACAACTGCCGAACCCAGCGCGTCGAACCTGCCCGCCCTGCTGGCTGGAACCGGTGCTGGGCCTCAGACCCCGAGCCCGCTCCAAACACGACGATCGGCGACTCCAAAGGGTGTGGTTTGCAAAGGGTGTGGTTTGCAATCGGCCCCCGGGGGTCACCATGGGGGGCGGGCGGGCACCTCGACAGAGCTCTCCGCCGCGCCCCGAGGAAGCCCGACGAGGACAGTGTCGTGCCCTCCAGGCCTCCGCGGCGCCGATCGCAAACCACACCCTGGCGTAACCGCACCCTTTGTAGTCGCCGAGACGAGCTCCCCCCTTCCAGGGCCAGCCCCAGC